TTCGGTTTGGAATTTGGAGATGAGGAACTGGAGATGTCAGTAGAATCAGCAATCTCTTCGATCTGCGTCAACATATGACCTTTGTCCATCACATCGAAGGGAATTTCAGATTCCTCAGTCGTGAGTTTGTTCAATTGAGCAGCATCCTGTTTAGGCACACTACCCTTCAAACGTCGCCAATAGTTGATAATGGCTTGAGGATCTGTGAACATATCTGCAGTAATCCAACTGTCGTCGGCAGCAGTGTAGTTTTTCCAACGTACTTTATATTCTCTTTTACCGGGTGCACCACGATGACCAACAATGGCATCGAATTCATACACTTCCTCTGATGAGACAACTGCATCTTGAGATACCAGTTTTAACTCGGATGGTGTAAATTCGCGTGGCAATAACAGGCCAATTTCATCACGAAGGGTGTAATTACCATGGTCTGTCTTACGAACGACTTCATATGGACCTTCGTAGACAGGAGCGAGTGATTTTTGAATACCCTTCTTGCGGACAACCACAAAGCTACCCACAGGAAAGTCAACCAGACGATGTTTCTTATCGAACTGCTCTTTCATCATTTTGTTATAGACCTCAGTGCGTTCCTTGATGGCAGGAAAGACAATGTCAGACATATATTCGATGCGTTTGAGTAATTCGTCAATACTCATCGGCTCAATGTCATCTTTGGGGTCATTATAAAGAGGATATTCATTTGTCATTTTACGCGCAAACATCAGACAAAATGGACTGGTTTGTAAACGCTTGGAAATTTTACAATTGAGCATCAATTGTACGGAATTGATTAACATATCCCAATTATCCTCAGAGTTACCTAGGATCAATTTGGATAACAATTTCTTTGTATTTTGGACAGCACGTTCAGCGCCACCATTACTTTGAGCATAATAAGCCGTGCTTAGACGCTTATCAATTTTCATGGCTTCACAAAGTAGGTCCAAAATTTGGTTTTTCCATTCAGCACCACGATCAGAATTGATGATACGAGGATAACCGATAAGGGAAAAGATTGATATGAGTTCACTCGCAACCGTTTTAGCAGACTTGTCAATAATAGGACGAAGAATCACAAAACGAGTAGCTACATCAAGTAAAACCAAGATGTATGTATTATTTTTGGAAGTGCAGGGGAAAGGTCCACACAAATCCATTTGATAATGCCAACCTGGAGTATAACAGTATAATGGTTTCAAAGGGTTATATCCACGCTTGGAAATGACGAATTTTTGACACGTAGAACATTGTTTGACAATTTCAAGTGCGTCTTTCATGATATTGGGCCAGTGCATACCTTCATCTTGTCGTATACGCTTAACAATGGCTTCAGCACCAAAGTGACCGAATTCATGTGCTCTTTTCAAAATATCAGAGCGATCGTCCTCAGGAGGAATGATGTAACTGTCATCCATATTTTGGACATAGTTGATTTGAATGTTTTCATCCACATCACACAAGTAATTGAGTTGTTCATCCAACGTATCATGGATGGTGCGGATTGACCATTGTTTGATGCGAACGCTATTATTCGCGAGAGGTAAGTCATCATCAACTAATTCGTTAGATTCGACTTCGTTATCATTATTGCCGATATGACAATAAAAGTTTTGAAAGTTGGGAATTCTTTCAATGTTGATTAGTTCATTTTCTTCAATGAACTTGTCTTTGTTTGTCTTTATGATTTTATTGCCACTCTTCTTTTTCTTGAGAGCTTTGGCCTTTTGATTACGGTTTTGCTGAAATAATTCAGGAAACAAAGCTTTCTCATCTTTTTCAAAGAGAACACGATCCTGTTCCTGGGGAAACATACGAGACAATTTATCGCTCATTACATTTTCGACGCCAGGAATCCAGACAACTTTCATATTTGGAAAGGAGAGAATCACTTCCATGTAACGCATCATCATCATGGACAGGTGTTTGGTAGTAAAAAGATATGATAAACTTCTGTGATCCGTATAACATGTGAATGGTTTCGATCCATGCAGAAATTTATAGAATTTTGTCAATCCAGTGGTCAATGCCAAAAGTTCTTTTCGGGTCACACTGTAATTGCGTTGGCTCTTAGACAAAGCCTTGGATGCAAAAGCAATATATTTGATTGTTCTTGTACCCTTTTCTTTATCGACATATTCTTGGAACAAACAAGCACCAATTGAATACGCACTAGCGTCTACAGCCAAACTGAATTCATGATTCAAATCGGGATGACTTAAGACAAGGTTTTCTTTTATAATTTTGATGATGCTATCGTAATGTTGATGCATCTCAGGGGTCCATACCAGCGTTTTCTTAGTGCTGTAACGTAAGTGATCAAGCGGAGCCGTCAATGCGCTAGCTTGTGGTAAATGAGCACGAACGTATGACACCCAACCACAAAATTTCATCATGGCTTTTGCTGTCATTGGTTTTGGCCAATCGTCGATGTTTGTCAAACGACGAGGATCAATGGATTTTCCTTGCTCTGAAATACAGAAGCCAAGTAAATACACAGAGTTCCGAGCAAAATGAGTTTTTTCAACATTGATAGGCATATTGTTTTTTGTCAATGCCTCAATAACACGTTTGCAGTGTTCCAAATGAGATGGTAAATCTTTTGAATGTACAACCACATCATCAATGTATATACATACAAATTGTTTCATATCCTGGAATATTGTTTCCATAACATTCTGAAATATACCAGAAAGGGATTTCAAGCCAAAGCAAGCACCTCTAAATTGCCAGCTTTTGCCTTCAAAAGTAAATGTTAATTTGTGGCGATCTTCTTTAGCAATTTCCAATCTGTGGAAAGCACCAGAAATATCAAAGACACTGTAAATCTTTGACTCGCGCATCTCATGATAAATGTCATCGATGAGAGGTGTGTTGACGTTTGATACGTCTTCCAAGAGATTGTTAATACGTCTTGTATCCAAACAAATTCTCCATTTTTGTTTACCTGAAGGGTCGGGGGAACCCTTAGGTGCGATGGTCAGAGGACTATTAAAACCGGATGGTTTAGCAGGCTCAATAGTTCTATCATCTGCCCATTTTTGAATTTGTTCTCTTACAACAGGTTGAAGAGCATAAGCGACAGGGTACTGTCTAGTGTAAGCCACTGCATTAGGAGCTGTTTTCAAATGTACGATTGCCTCAGGAATCGGACATAAATTGTGAAGATTGATTTCTGCATTCGCCTTAATATACGGCTGAAGTACCTTCATGAAATCTTCATACTCTTGTTCAGAACATGCTTTGCTAACATTTGGAATATAAACCTCGTGGTTAACGGAATCTTCGAAAATAAGTTCTTCTCTGTCTTCGAAAGAAAAAGCAATATTTTCTATTCTGATACCAAGTTTAGGAATTATATCTCTTCCCAAGAGTACCGGTAATTTGCTCATGTTTTCAGGCATTTCCATAACCTCAAAGGAATGGAGAAATCCGGGCTTACCTCTATATTTGACTTCGAGTGGTTGCGTTTCTCCTTTACGTTCAGACGAAACGTTTTTGCCCACATATGTAATCTTACCCTTTGTAGGAATTAATTTGTCAAATATAGATTTATCTGCAAAATCGAAGTTTTCATTGATTATTGATTTTTGAGCACCTGTATCGAGCATACCAATTAATTGTTCATTGTTGATGGTAATAGCAGGAGAATAAGGTGTCATGTTCTGAACCTCTTTTTCTGTCAAGTCAGCAACATGAAAGCAGACAATATTTTGGTTTTTGTCCTTAGCAAACAGATAATTTTTATTTTTAATGTTATCATCTGATGGCAAGGGTTTGAATTTAGGATGATAAACGATAGAATTAAACTTATTATCAGTGAGAATTTCACTGGTAAAGCCTTCAGCAATTTCATTTTCGAGATTACTATAGAAGATATTAATCTTATCAGTTCCATTTTCATTAAGGTTAAAGTTTTCATTGTTCTTTTCTGAAACACGTAACTGTACCTTGTTATGACGGCGATCGTTTTGCTTGATCAAATACTGTTTATATTTATCACTGTGCAAATAATCGATGCAACGTTTTAAGTGCTCGTAGGAGAATGCCTCCTTTTTGCAATAATTGCAAAGGTTTTTACCATTAGCGGGAGCGGGACGTTGTTTTTTCTGAAAATCGTTTTCAGAACCGGTTTGTTTTCTTTTAATGCCACTATGGCTCGTCTCAACTTTCTTTTTTGGCGAAACGTCGGTAGCCAAGGCATGGTAAAGGGCTTCCTGAATAGGACCGTAATAAACTTCAATGTGTTTACAGTGGGTGAAAAAACTGTTCACGTAATTGCTGATTTCAGACATTTTGAGCTCTGTTGAGACGAAAATAAGCGATATCCAGGTCAAAATGGTATCATTCAAAAGCTTAAACTCTGCTTTACAAGTACCTCTATTATCGAGCAATTTCATTGGCGCTAAGTTTAAATTCGATTGAATTTTCAGAATACCCAGTTGAAAAAAAGATCGGCGGTTTGGGCACGGGCGCAGCCCGGGCTAGCTAGGGCCTCGGGCCTAGCTAGGTCAGGGTTAGGGTTAGGGTTATGATAGTGTTCCGTTTCGGGTTTTTGGATTTGAAAAGTGCATCTGAAAGCCTGAAGCAAGGGCTTTCGAATGATACCACTTGCACCCCTGGGGTTTGACAAAATTGGGGGAAACGGAGCTTCAAAAGTCTTACAATCAGTGGCATAGGTTTTCTCAGCGCCGATAAGAGACTTATAACTCAGCCATTATTGAAGCTAACCTAGCACTATAATACCGTTTTCAAATGCGCAAAACACGCTGAATACAATGCTGCTATCTATTCTTTGATGTGACTGTTCTATGGCTCTCTAGAGGTGTGTAGGCACTGTTGCCGAGCGTGCTTGTGACCTTTTTGCCAGCTCTAACGCAATTTACTAGTGAAAAATTTGCTTTCTAGGTTGGGACTGCTAAGTAAAAATGCTTTCCAGACATGAACGACAAACTTCTAAACGTTTGAGGGGATAGTCACTAAGTAACATCAGAGACCTACTGGCAGCTTTCTGTGGTGGGTACAGCAAAATTGGCCATAAAGTCATTATCAACCCAGTTTTTACCACCAGAAATACTTTTGTCAACTGTCGATGTAAAGTAAAGACATTTGATAACTAAATACCTTAGCTATCTTGAATTTAAAAACACTATCACCTAACATTTGAAGCGAGTAAACGGCAGATGACCACAATGCTTACAGCGAAATTGTCCAGAATGCTAGTATCCTTGCATTTTGTGGGCATAGAAGAGATAATATTTATATTAAACCGCCAGTTTACCACGTCTGACCATTCGTCTAACTTAGAGTAGGCACAAGAGTAAGAGACAAACGTTAGGAATTTCTAAAGTTAGAATTCTATTGTAGCTTAATGGTTGAAGTTATTGACTTCATCCATGCAGACCGGTGTTCGACTCCTTGTTAGTGCACTTTTTTTCTTCAGCAAAGTTGTTGTGCGTGTAGCACTTTTTGAGCTGCTGGATATTTTTTTTGCTTGCTTAGATGTTTACCCTATAGAAGGGAGAACGAAATAGATAAAAAGCGTCGATATGAATGATAGGTTAATTAAACGTATCTGAACGAAAATGAGTGTAAAGATTCATTGCAAGTTGAGGGTAGTCGCGAAATTTTCTACTGAAGACATAAATACATATAAGATCGTATATATTTAACAATTTCACCTGTTTTTTTTATTTTCTTTATGACAAAACAAGATATCTAAATGGGACCACTACCATCGAATAGAGATGAAAAATGGCTAACAAACCCCTTTTTAAAATTTTGTCTAGCACAAGTTTTCATGGAGAAAATGACCTTCAAAGTTTGGAAAATGTTACAATTGATGGCATAGGTCGAGAAAAATGGGGTGCAGTTAGGACCAAATGGAAAGTTTGCAAAACCGGGTTCACCCCGAGGATAGCTTAACGTTTTATAGAATGTGAGATAATTGTACTGTATTGTTACAGTATATAAAGAACCTTTTTTTATTATTACTGTTAATATTATTGTTACAGTTGATTGTTTTATTATAATAAAGTTGGTCCTGTTATTATACAAATATTATATGTTATATATTTACTTAATATGTTGTATTGATCTTTCGATCGTCTCTTTTGTGAGTATAATTGAGCTTGTGGTAATCACGACAATGTTCCTTCTTTAATATATCTGGTCGATAGTGGTCTTCTATGTTTCGAACTAAAAGACCTTGTTTGATTACATATAGTCGATCTTTTGGGATGATTGGGGTATATTTGAAACTGTCGTTGATGATGGTATATATAAAGTCGTAATATCGTTTAACTGTTGAATGGGGGTATCGTAGGTATAATGAAAGTAATACCGCTCTACAGCCTAAGACTGCATGCGGTTGCTGATGAATGAGTTTTACGATGGTATCTTTTGGGGTATCGGGTGTGATGAAGGGTATAAGGTATTTGAGACGTCGATCCATGGGTATAGTTTTGTTGTTTGGTCGTGCGTCTAATATGTTTAGTGGGATATTCAGATAACGAGATTCGTACTGGTGTTGGGTATCTTCTGGATGCCTTAAAAAGAATTTGGTTGAAGGCCGGGTATTGTAAATGTTGGTGGGTATATTCTTCCAATATTCATCAAAAATCATCACAACTGCCTCCTGTGCAGAACAGAATCCCATACCAAAGTTTCGTATCAGACGAATCATTTCTTTGACATAAAAGTCAGAGGTATCGTTGGAAGTATGCACAATATAATGTTCTCTGATGGAAAGGTTCTCAGATCGGTACTTGGGTGTTCTTGCCGTTAATAGATCTAAAGCTGACACTATGCGTATTGTTGGTAATGATGATGATGATGGTTTTGATGATGATGGTTGTGATGATGATGATGATGATGAAGGTCGTGATGCTGCTGGTGTAAAGGGTATATTGCTTATAAGCTTATAATCTGGGAAGAATTTCTGTAATACAGTATCGTTAAAGGTGTAATTACATTCAACTGTGTTGTTGGTATAAGTGAAAAGATTGGGTATAAAGAACAATCTGTTATGTTTACATCGATATTGATCGAGCACAGTGGGTATAAGTTTGCAGCTATGATGTTCTTGGTTGCGGGTATCTGATGGAAGGGTATTTGGTGGTGCTGATGTTAGTGATAGTAAAAAATATGTTAAAATAAGGATGCCAGACAAGTTGCGTTTAGTTAATCGTCGGCCAAGTTCATGAATCATGTCCTCAATGGTATCATTGCATGTTAAGAGGTATCGTATATAATGGTTGTTGGGTATAATAATGGTATTTTGTCGTTTACCAACGGCCTCACTAGTTATATGCAAAGAAAACAATCAGTTAGATAAACAAGTACAACACATCTATTCATGAATGACATTGACACATACCAAACGTTGGCAAACAGGGTATAAAGTTGTTCAGGAGTGGCGGAAGAGGTGGGGATACGTACTTCAAGTCGCAACGTATGGTTATGAGCGCCTATACCCTTGAGGACCACCCTATTATTGACCTATCCACAACATGCAGCCAACAATTAATCATGAGTACAACAATCTAAACAACATCTAGCCACATACTATGAGTACTTACGGTATAGTTACAGAGCGCTTTTCCACCCTTAGACGCTGCGACAGGTGATAACACTTTACCATTGCGACCGAATATGACATTTCGGTGCAAGATAAAGTGGTTCTTGAGGTCGGAATAGCCCAGGATTTTACTTGCGCGGATGTTTGTGGTGGAGTAGACAGCAGAAGAGAAGTTACCAAAGGTTGATGAGAGGGCTTGGGGATAAAAATGGAGGTTACCATGGGTATTCGGACCTAAGATGGGCTTGAGGAGGGTATCGCGCAGAGGGCCGCTTGCAGTGTTATTATAGAATAACACATGGCCATGCGTTTTTGAAGATGTGCAAAAGTCAAAACCAACGTCCACGAAGCCTGTTGAAGGCAAGGTATTGAGGTCAAAAGAAGTCAGTTCCTGCTTGCAGCCATAACATACTGATACGAAGAAGAAGTCCTTGAAGTCACGGACACCAGTGGCCAGCTCACGAGTCTTGGGTATAATGTCATTAAGACTTGAAATGGGTATCCATTGTGCTTGGGTATCAACCCTACTGCGAATATTACCAAGATAGGCATTACCAGGTAGTTTGTTGAAAACAGCTGGATGTAGTACCTCCTTGGCAGCTGGCAAAAAGTAGTTATCCATAAATTCGCGGTAGGAGGATGCTTCTAAGTAGGAACTTGCTGGAAGTTGGTTTACGACCTTAAGATGGTGGAGACCAGGAAAAAAAAGATATGTCTTGAAGTGCCCGTAGTTATCACTCTCCGAAAACAACACATGGGGTATCTTGGTGACCAACAACGGGGCATAATCTGTTGAATCTAAAGATGACAAGGACGAGTTGCTTTCTGAGTCACTGTCAACGTGTAGAGCTTGATCCCATTCACGCTGACAGTAATGGTAGACCCCATAATCTCTGCCATTAAGCTTGTCACTATAGTCCGGGTTGAAAACCAAAAGGTGGCGAAGACCAGTTACTTCGTGAATGGTTTCGGACTTGCCCACAGAAATGGCGTCAATAGTTTTGTGGACATACCCAGTATCAACCCGAACATCCCTGGTCTCAGACTCCAGATCCACTAGCAACTTGCTTCCGGTAGCAGTCGTACGATTAAGAACCAAGTTGAGGCGAGACTTCAACGACTTTGAAGCAAAGCACCTGTCAACAAATGCCTCAAAGCCGATACGTTCAAGGTCTAAACAGTATAAGAACAACGTTAGTTGGCTACACTATGCTACTTGACTTGAACCAAGAGTTACAATGTAACAAGTTTACCTTCGAGGGAAGTGCCTTGATGGACGTTACCGGAAGCCTCACCATCACGGGAACGAGAGTCATGGTTGGATTCAGCTTGAAAGTAAACGTAAGAGTGTTATAGATTAGTAAAAGTAGGCCACAGCAGGTACTACGGTACATTCAAAGATGATACATACTTCCAGAGGGAACAAAATCGGTGTCCTCCTCCAAAGAGGAACCAGAGTCGCTGTCAGACTCACCTAGACATATACATGGTTATGATGTTAGTCCTTAAAGCACCTATTATGTATTCATGATGAGACATACCAGAGGAAGGCTCATAAAGAGAACCTTCAGAAGAAGAGTCGCTACTTTCAGGTAAAGCATGGCCTAATGAGGAGTCAGTACCGTATACCCAAGAGCATATAACCATACATTACACTACTACATCACTATACACTGGACACGACCCAATACACACACTATGTACTTACGAACACGCTTGCGAGCATGGCCCATGGACTCATCCTCAGAGCTTGAGTCGCCATTACCATTACCAGTAGGAAGGGAACGACCAGCACCGAAAAATTGGAACTTCAATTCATAGATATCGGAATCAGAAGGAGAAGTGGCAGTAAAGTTGTTGGTAGCAGACATGTTGATGGCAGTAAAAAAGTGTAATAATAAGAGCAAAAGTGAACTTTTATAGAGAGAAAAGGTACTTGGTAAAAAGTAAAGAAGAAAAGAGAAAAAGGTGAAAGAAAAGACACCTCTTTATATACTTTTAGAGTAAAAATTTATGGACTGCTTCTTTTTTGAACTTTATAAATCACGCAATAATTGACCAATAGCCTTTAAAGCGCAATGAGTCATAAATCACGCAATATTCCACCAATAGCCTTTCAAGCGCATTTAACAAAAAGTTTATCGTCATGCATTACTTAGTCAGCTTTATCTCAGAGAAGGAATGTTTGGAGAATGTTCCATAGAATGTTTGTAGATTGTTCTATGGAATGTTTGGAGTATTATAATAAAGTATAAGTTAGCAATGTACAGAATACCAGTTGAAAAAAAGATCGGCGGTTTGGGCACGGGCGCAGCCCGGGCTAGCTAGGGCCTCGGGCCTAGCTATATATATATATATATATATATATATATATATATATATATAGGGTAATACCCGGGTGAGGGTTGGGGTTGAGACCTAGGGTCGAACCCTAAGATTTTAGGGTTGGCAATTTTTACTAAGTAAATCGCTCCAAAAATGATATGACGTGAAAGCCCGTGTAAAAAAACGTAATTTTACTTATGGACCCTAAATGCTGAGACTAAAATTCAGGCCAATAGATGACAATCTTTGAAATCCAGGCTTAAAGCCCAACCCTAGGATTTTGAGTGCCACTTTCGCCCTAGGGTTCATAAATGAATGATTCCAAAAATGATCGGACGTAAAAGCCCGTATAAAAAAACGTAATTTTAATTACGGACCCTAGTCACACAGACCAATTTCAAGACCAGTAAAGATCGATTTCGTGATGGAGCCATGGCTTCGACCCCGGTTTTTTGAATGGCACTTTCGCCCTAGGGTTCATAAATGAATGATTCCAAAAATGATTTGACGTAAAAGCCCGTGTAAAAAAACGTAGTTTTACTTATGAACCCTAGTCACACAGACCAATTTGAAGACCAGTAAAAGTCGATTTTCTTATACAGCCATGGCTTCGACCCTAGGTTTTTTGAATGCCACTTTCGCCCTAGGGTTCATAAATGAATGATTCCAAAAATGATTTGACGTAAAAGCCCGTGTAAAAAAACGTAGTTTTACTTATGAACCCTAGTCACACAGACCAATTTGAAGACCAGTAAAAGTCGATTTTCTTATACAGCCATGGCTTCGACCCTAAGTTTTCTGGGTACTATTTTCGCTGTAGGGTTGATAATGAAATTGTTCTAAAAATGACTTGGTGTAAATGCCCGTATAGAAGGGTGTAGTAAAACATAAGAATCGTCATCATTCGAATGAAAAACAAGACGATATCGGGCAATCTTTGTCTTGAAAGGATTGGCAAAAACTGCAAAAGCTGATGAATAAATGTTCGATAATCAATTTCCTTAAAGTCATATAGTAAAAGTGCCTAATTGATTCAATTAGAATCAGCTTTGTTGATACAGTGTGTCGATTCATCTAAACAAGGGCGTTTATTAGCCAATCATATTGAGCTTTTAAAGTAACTAAGAGTATCAAATATAAGCAAAAATTTTGAAGCAGAAATTCTTCTTTGGTGTAGTGGTTGAGAGACATCACTATCATTATGCAGACCGGGGGTCGACCCCTGGTGAGCTCTTTATTTTTATGAATTATGTAGTGCGTGAAACGTTGTTGGACTTAGAAAAAAAAACTTATTTTTTCCCAAAAAAAAAAGTTGCAAAATGAAATAGAAACAGAAGTACAACATATTAAAAGAAAAGTTAACAAAAGAGAAATAAAAACAAAAACATAAAATAGAAACGGAGACCAGCGCCGAAGTGATTAATCCGATCACCTGTCTTATTGGGACAACTTTTAAAAATAACAATAATGCGGGGTAGAAATTACTATCTTTAGTAATGTAATACTATCATATATAGTAGTGCGGGGTAGCCATATATGGTAGATCTCGATTGCAGATCCTCATACCTGATATGGTAAAGCGCCGATCACCAAACACGTCAAGAACATTTCTAGAACAATGCTGTCGATCATTCGTGAAACATTCCATATACATTCTACAAACATTCCTTCTCGGAGATAAAGCTATTGGTGGAATATTACATAATGATGGTGACTCATTGCGGAAATAAAGCTATTGGTTGAATATTGCGTGATCATGATGACTCATTGCGCAAATAAAGCTATTGGTTCAATATTGCGTGATTTCTGAAGTTCAAAAAAGAAGCAGTCCATAAATTTTTAGCCAAAAAGTATATAAGAGGTGTTCTTTCTTCACTTTTTTCTCTTTTCTTCTTTACTTTTTATCAAGTATCTATTCTCTCTCTTACCTTAAATCAACTTTGCGATTCAACATGTCTTTCTCTGCTTCTGCCTCTGCTTCTGCCTCTGCTTCTGCCTCTGCTTCTACCTCTGCTTCTGGTTCTGCCACTGGTTTTGTTCGTAATGTCCGTCGTCGTATTGTTTCTGATTCTGAATCTGATGATGACATGAGTAAGTATCGTTTGTATTAGTGGTATATTGTGGGTATACGGAATGGTGAAGTGTGTTGTATGGGATACAAATGGTATAATGTGTGGTAGATTGGGGGGGGTATACTGTGGTTGGTGTATCTAATAGCCTTTTGATTGTATGTGATAGCTTTCGAAAACTTCTTGACCTCTCGTGCTCCTCGTGTCGCTTCCTCCTTGCCTACCCTATCTGATTACATGAATAGTGCCTGGGCTAGTGAACCTGTCAATGGTAATGCTTCGCAAAAGGAACGTTTTTTGGTTGATACTTTTGTTCGTGGCGTAAAGAATGGTGAATCATGTTTGCTTGGCATTGAATCCACTTTGGTTTTACCTTCTTCTCCTTCTGTGATGGTTGATATCGATTCTTACATTTATCTTGCGTATGGTGATTTGCCTTTGTTGGAGAATGTATCTATCCACATCTTCTATCGTCCGGATTATAAGTACAATATCAAGTTCGATACTGGTATCAGGGCATCTTTGCCTACTATTGACCATGGTGAATCTTTTAAGCTTGGTGAATGTCCAAATATGTCTTTTGCTCGCTGGGGAGATGCATGTGTAAGTATCTGTTCACATAAAAAGGGTGTATTGGCGTAGAGTTTAGTTCAAATAGAATGTTACTAATGCATGGTGGTTAACTTCTATCGTAGGTAAACATCTTCTTTCCTCGCTTGATGCAAATGGCCAAAGCAAGCTCATCGAATAACAAGTCTACATGCTTTATTGATCAAAAGTATCATGAAATGTTCATTGATGATGTCATGATTCCTTGCTTGGACTTTGTTTCGATTCAATCTGCTTATCCAGGACCATTATCTTTCGATAATGCTGCCAGAAATGGATTGGGCCATAGCTCAGTTAAACTTGATTCCTTTTCTTTATCGCTTTTGGTTGGTGCTATTCGAGAATTGATCAACAGTGGTGAAAACACAAGATTGAACGTTTTCAAGGACTTCTTTTTTGTCATTTCATCTCATGGTATGAAAAAAGTGCTTCCCGATACCATTTATCAGCAAGATAGAGATGCCATCTTGACTTTTGCCTTTCAGCATGAACTGTTGAATGTAAATAGTCCTTTTTTCGATTACAAGCATCTTTACCTTGATGTTGCCTTCTCTTTTTTGCCTCCCGCTTCTTGTTCTTGGACTGGTTTGTGGTCTGATACCGAGTATCTGCTTTCTTTGTTCTTTTCTCCTCGTCTTCCTGCCAACAAGTTTACTGGCACTCTTCGTCAAGACTCCTTTTGTAACTTTTCAGGTCTTGGCGGTTTCAAGTATATGGAAAAGGAGCATACTTACTTGTCGGTACAAGCATATGGTGTTTGGAAACATGCTTTCTTTCGTCGCGAATACCAATCAAATAGACAAGGCATGGACTTGACGGCCACCAATATACTTGATAAAGCAAGAACATACGATAACTGGATGGTAAATACTTTGCTTTTTGGTTTTATACTGTATGGGTAGTTGTAATAACTAGTGTTCTGAACTTTATATTCTTTCATTATAACTGTAGAAACATCATTCAGATTATCTTGAGCGTATTTCCAGCCGTCAGTGTGGTTACGGTGCTCGTCTTGAGTTTCGACTCAATTGTTCAGACGCTTCATCGTTAATAAGCAATGTGACTTCAGCACAGACACTGTATGTATCCATAATGTCATTCTTTTCATGGATATTCATAGATAAACACGTTTTCTAATCCATTTCTTAACTTTGCGAATAGAACCAAGATTGAAAAGTGTATCCACTGGTACACGAATGCTGAACTCTTTGGTTTTGTGCTCTATCGACTTCGCGCATTGGATGCACTGGTCAAGCGGGTAGTTGTCAGTAAAGATCGTTTTACTGGCAAAACTTTGACTTTCTGTTCGCTTGTTGCTTTCTTTTTGAACTCGTTGGTTCATCGTGAGCCGGATGATTCCGAATGGCGTCCCGTGAAGAAGTTGCTTTCTGAGTACCAGCATACTGGCTCAGCTTTTCCATTTGTTTCTGGTTTGTTTGGTGGTTTAGATACCTCGTACTCTCTTTCTGTTTCCTTGGGCAGTGTCGATTTGAAGAAGTTGACAGGTTTAGACGTACCGACGTCAGCATCAGCAGCACCAACGGCAACAACATCAACAACATCAACAACATCAACAACATCATCAACATCAGCAGTACCAACTGTACCCACTTCGCTAAGTAATGATATATGTATCATTCGACTTCAAACTCAACTATTGAACATGGACATCAATGATAATCTTCCAGGATTTGAGATGTTTAACAACATAACAGTTAGAGACGAGGTCAAGCAGTTTATCAAGATTGATCATGCGAGCAAAAGTACTTATTGGTGTCTTGCTCAACACATACTGATTGCACATGTTCTCATATCGCCAACAACTGTCAAACTCTTCTCTCAATTGGTACTTACTGAAATGGTCACTC